GTGTACTTGAGGGACGTGAGACGGTTCTTGGGCCAGACCACCCCGACACCCTAACGAGCCTCAACAACCTCGCTATTACCCTCCAAACCCAAGGAAAGTACGATGAATCCGAGGCTCTGCATCGCCGTGCACTTCAGAGACGCCGGAAGGTTCTTGGATCAGACCACCCACACACCCCATCAAGCCTCCACAATCTTGCCGCAGTGCTTGGTGACCAAGGAAAGTACGTTTAATCAGCGACTCTAAGGCGGCGTGCGCGGCAGCCGCTGTCAAACAAACCTGATCAGGCATAGCCGCAATCCCTAGAACTTGTTGTATTTTGCGTTCATACGACTGCACCCCACAGCAAGCGTGATAGTCTGGCAACCCGGTTCCTCACCATGTCGCGGGTGGTTTGGGCTAGATGTGACATGAGTGGGTCACCATTTCTACTCGTCTAGGGAGCTGTAGGGATCTCCCGCGAAAAACTAGGGCAATTTCTGGAACTCAGGAAGTAATGCGTGGGCGGCGGTGGCGCAACTTTTAAATCCTTGTACGAGCAAGTGATGCTTGTGTATTGAGCAACTATTCGGCATTTTTGCTGACCTTTCACCTTTTATTTCCTCTTATTTCTGATCCCTTAACAGTTTATTTGTCTATTCTTCATACCGAATCTGATCCTTCGTCCCCACCCCACAAGATCCTGGCAGCCCTCTTTTTCCCGGTGGAATCATAAGTAGTCACTTGCTTGTCTATGCCGTCATCCCCCGAACCCGTAGGCACGGACCCACCATCAGTGTCACCCAGTACCGTATGCCCTGCATGCCAGCAACTGTCCCAGTGGCTTCCTAGAAAGCACTAAGCGCGTGTACATTCCAAGATACTAAAACAACAATTAGCATCTGTGTAGTCTCGTCTATGGTTCAGCCAGAGGCCATCCCCGGCCCCAGAACTACCTGTCACAATAGCGGTCAATATATACAGGTTTCCCGGTCCAACGCGGCCTCCAGAGATGCAATATAACATTCCATATTCGCTCCCATGCCAGTCCAAATTCCCAAGAGACATGCCATTTCTCCATTCCAATAAAATGGACATTCCGGTAACATTCCCGTTGTAATTCCCATAGCGATGCCAAGCATCTCAATAGCTGCTCTACTTGGTCGAATAACAGCTTCGGACAACAAGAACGACCGTGGCTCCCCGAGTGACCGCCGGTGACAGCCCGGATTCCGAGAGTTTTTAGGATTCCGAGTTTTTAGGATATGTAGATACATAGACGTGGATTGGGCAGAACTCTAGTTCGTGCGACAGCGGCTTCTGCACGTAAGTACCTATAATCGGCGGTGCGTTATCTTTCCCATGATTTTTTATGGGGTTTGGGGTTGATATACTCCTGGGCATAGTTCTTACTGTAAATTCGAAGTGTAAGTTCGCATACTTGCCTAAACAGTTGTGCCTGCCAGATCGCCATGAGGAAAGAGAAGAAGGAAAAAAAGAAAAGAAAAGAAATGGCCTGCAATGCGGACCTATTAGTACGAAGAGTACCTGGCGAACGGCGCGGCCGAGACGATGCGTTTAGGAAGAGCTCGCAGGGCCCGAGGTTCGTGGCGATACCCAAGTGGTAGAGAAAACTTGATTATTAGGTAATAATATCTGGTTTCAGAGGAATTTATCTGCTGCACAGTCGAGGAATATAATGGGTGATATGAAGTTGCGTAGCATCGGCGCTACTCTCCACACTTTGGTTTCGTCGGCTTTTTTGTTCTTTCTTCTTGGAGTGCCCCGGGCCCGCGCCAACCGATCTTAGCCTCAGATATTGCATCGCGTATGCGGATATTTGAAAATATCTGAAGATGTCAGGTGATGTTTGAAGATATTTGCGGTCCTCCTTGAGTGCTTATAGGGACCTTCAGCTATCTCCTACCTATTGACAAAATACTGCGTGACCACACGGCACACGCTGGAGCCCACCGGTGCCGGCGGGAAATGATAAAGCGTGTATAGGCTTTGGGAAAGCCAGGTCTATGGAGCTTACGTTAGTCTCGCTTAGATCGTGCTTAGCGGTACCGTAGAGTATACTTTGCGTACGGGCTTTAGGCGGGTCGGGCGTATAAACAACTATGGACAACCTTGCCCCCACACTTGCTAGCAGGGGGAAGCATGCTGAGGGATGGAAACCGTGGCGGCGCGTACCGAAATGCAGCGGGAAAGCACTGGTTAGATGAGGATTGTTTTCGGGTGGTTCACTTCATATCGGCTCATCGGCTGCAGTTGGAACTTGGAAGAAGCCCTTCCCGATGACTAAGCTAAACACCTAGATGGCCATCCGGGATTATTTCTTAGTCAGCATCGCCAACCTTCATCCAGCCCTTAGCGCTAAAACTGGGTTGCGGCTTGACCCATCGACGTTCGCGCAGGTTATCAGGCGATAGCATCGCCCGTTTTCCTCGTTCCTGAAGCCAGCTTCTAAACACCGCCGACCTCTGAATTAACTACCGCGCTACCTTGCGAGAACCGACCGCCACTTTTACGTCGAGCCTTGAACTGGCTGAGATGAAGCTGAGGATCGCATGAAAATCCAAGCCCTGAAAGGTTTGGCACCGGCTATAAAGGAGTTGGGATGTGGCGTTTTATTCCGACCTCAAGACAATGGAAGGTCAAAGTCTTATCTGAGCGTACTAGCACCTGACTGTTCTCACCAGATAGAGTGGTATATCACCAGTGGGCCGTCCGCTAGTTGTCAACATGCCGTACCAACACCGAATATCCGTCCACGACAGCAGTCTACCCGGTCGACCTGCTTGTGTCTTACACCTCGGCCATACTCTTATGATATCCTCGGCCAATATCTTTCTATCCGACAATTTTCAACTGGCGGGACCGTGGTCTTATCCTTAGTCATATTGCTACCGACATCTCCCCCTCTGGCCCGATCACCCCTCACACCTGTGGAAGCAATTTGAGCGAATCACTGGTCCCCGGGTTATGGGAGTATACCACGGTGGGGTATAGAGGGCGGATCTAAAGTACTCGGGTGCTTGAAAGTCCGACCGCTGTGCTCGGTAAAGGACAAAAAGGACCTATTTCTCGCTACTTTCTTTCCAATCTAAATCAATTGGCCTGCCGCCATTCCCGCTTCCCCAGTTTTGTCGCTCCTAGATTTCTTTGGTTCTCTTTTTAGGGGCTTTCCTGTGCCAGACATCTCTTTCCTGTCTTTTGTGGAATATTCCCGGCATTTTTAGCCAGATTGTCAAGTCCTACCAGGGGGGCCACTGTGCACCAACCCAGTTGTTAAACGGTACTTCAGGGGGCGCATCGAAGCCTGTGAAACACCTGTGCCTAGTATTCCCGTATACCTGGTAAGGATTGCAGGCAATTTTCTGGGCCTGAGATCCCACCAGCGGCTTTGCCAGAAATTCTCTAAAACCCCGGGATGACAACGCCTCACTTCTTGGCACTGATTAGAAAGCTGCCGGCATTACCAGACAAGAAATGCTTTCTCTGGTGGTGCACCAGTAGCTAGGTGAAGAGGGCCGGGCTGTTGTTGCACCAAAATATTTGAGTGGTTTGTCTCATAAAATCAAAATTTGGAGAGCCAATGAAATTAATGCTGAATGAGTGACAAATCCTGGTGGAGAATGCCATAAGAATATGATTGTGGTAGGTGGAAATAATCATTGTTTGTATGTTCACTTGTGCCGGTCTCCGGGGAGTTTAACAGACTGGCGGATTCCCTCGCGTGAGTTCGTTCCCTGGTCTGTTCCCTTGCTGAACTCAGGCGTGACAAGACGCTCGGTTTCTAATCGCGCATCACCATATAGCAGCGCTGTTATGTACCGGTTCTTCGGAACGCACCATACACTCCATGTTTTGGTGGACCCTGCCCGCATCATTATCTTCTGACTATTGCGCTTCTCCCCATCCTACCAGGAAGTGGTGGAATATGCCCCAGATAAAAGCAGGACCATGCGGCTAGCGGAGTTATGAATATATTCCAGCGACTTGAATTTACTAATAAAAGCAAGGCCAGGTGCGCCCCTTCCTTCTGCAGCATAGACCCGGATACCAACTTTCTATGTTCATGCTTGCTCACTCGGTAGACCCCACTATGCGAGATGGATACCATGTCAGGAAGGATGCTTCCATAGAACACATGTGCGAAGTATCGAGAAAGCACTAGTAGTGGATATTCTCAACAGGATCAAGAATATCTCATATTTATTCGCGCCATCCTGGTTGGAAATTTCCCAAGATTCGCCATCCGTGCATATGCTAACAGACGCAAGTCAAATCATTCACGAAGGGTATGGCATTCTTACTGGTACGATGAAGGAGTGCTCATACCGTATTGTGACCTTTCGCTTTTCGACGTAACAATTTCGATCTCAGTTGCTTGATCAACCCGTTGGTAACAGGTAAGTTTACGCGAGTGATTCACATTGGGGGGAGGGCGCTCAGTTGTCGGGGAAAGAATCGAGTGATACAAGTACAAGGCATCTTCCAAGGATGGGCCGGGGGAACTCTGCCGGGATTCATGTATCGGCGTGACTTGATAAGTTCGAGGGTGCCGCCCGTACTCACGGCGCCGGTTTTCTCTGCCAATCCCTATTCTGGAATCGCTCATCCTCGGATGTTTTGGCCTATACAAGACACCAAAGTGCCTCCGGTGCAACACCAGCTAAAGCATACGGACACCTTAAAACAAAGCTGTAACATTGGCTACTGACTCGCCAGTTTTCCTGTGGCCAAGGTGACAATCCCCATATAAAGCATCCCCCTTCAATTTGGCTGCTAGAAGTGCGTGAAAGGAAGAAACTTAAAACAAATACAAAATACTATCCATCAACGTAATTATCACCACAATGAATGATACATCTATTAAGCTTTTCATGATAGCTTTGACAACGCCTATTGATTCTTGGCTTGTTGGTAGAGGCTTTCTGGATTCACAGTAATCTGGCCTTTTGTTGTTTCAAGTGAATGGAGGTGAATGTCATCCAGGTTCTTGAGGTTCAGAGTTTTCTTAGCTTTCTTAGTGTGGTTGCAATCATCATTCCGTACTGCATTTTATTGACTAAAATTCCCGAGGATGAGCGATTCCATAATAGGAACTGGCAGAGCAAACCGGCGCCGTGAGTACTTGCATACCGGTGTTCGGTGAAAGTTAGCTTATGGAGTGTCGCGGGATGCGTGGCCGCTTGAGTAAGCAGGGGTTTTTCGCGATCCCAAAGCGGGTCTCACCCTATCCCGCATGCCGTAGCAAGGCAAGCACTAAACCTGGTAACTCTCTAAATTGTGACCCCTGGTTCAACTAATTGCATTGCGCAAGCCCAAAGAGATCCTGCTACAGTGTGGGATACCGTGTTTTTCCGCCTCTCCTCCGCCTTTCCTTGCCCCAGGGCGCACTTCTAATTTCTGAAGGGTAGATTTCATCCTTTCCTACTGCCCCAAAAAGCTGTCGCTCTGCTAGAACACTAACGCTCACACAGCGCCCTCCCACGGATCGCTCAGCCTTCACTGAGGCAGTATCCTCGCGGCTAGCCTTATACCCCTGCCTCAAAATCTCAGAGCTAAGAACCTCAATATCCAAGGTTGAATTAGTCACGTTCGGTTTACTACAGTATATTTCGGTTATTGACTTGTTTCAGGGCAGTAGTTCCCATTTTAGCTATGCAAGTGACACTC